CACCGCGCTGATCCGATGGCAGGAGCCAGGATCCAGGTGCTTTTCCTGGTCTCCCATGGTGTGCAGGGCCCAAGCACCTGGGCCATCCTCCACTGCACTCCCTGGCCATAGCAGAGAGCTGGCCTGGAAGAGGGGCAACCGGGACAGAATCCGGCGCCCCAACCATGACTAGAACCCGGTGTGCCGGCGCCGCAAGGTGGAGGATTAGCCTATTGAGCCACGGCGCCGGCTAAAACTGAAATTCTTACATAAAGATGTCTTCAATTAGTTCATGGAGAATGTGTATTAAGAAAAAAAAATGTATGCTTTCAAATTTTTTTTGCACCAACATAAGCCTACCTTTTAACTCCATTTTCCCATAAACTCTTTAAAGTACCCTCATTTACTGAAAATAGGGGAAGACATTTGTGTGGTGGAAGTCCCCACTGGAAGTCCAAAGGGTCCTCATCTGTGTAAGTGGCTGCAGTAATGGAAATAGTTGGAGGAAGGAAGTTTTAGTGTTTTTTTTTTTTTTTTCTGTTAATGAGAGGAGGTAAATAGCTGCTGTCTGATATTAAGTGTAACTCTTTGCCCTCTGTTTATTTAGCCACACTTGTCAATGTAACTCAGAGACTAGAGTTCAGTAGCTGTTGGCAACTGATCTGGACCCATCCTCTTCTACAGCTGGTGTAGCTTAGACAGTGAACCCAAAGCTTGACACAGATTACTCTTCTAGGGAGTTTAATTTTGGTTTCATCTCATCTTTTGGAAGTAGCTTACAAAATATCTTAAGGAATATACTCATTTTACCGTCTTGATTTCAAAGACTCAGCTAGCCTCACCTCCCTACAGATGTTTACTCTGATTCAGAAAACTACAGCTTAAATTCAGATTTATCCTCAAGTCTGTGCTGACCAGCTTTTGTTCCCAATACTGCTATACTAAGAGATCCTCCATTTGTTACAATGGATTTGCAGGTTCAAATAAATGCTTTGGTTGTGTCGTTGAAAGAAAGAGCTATCAATTAGATTGCATCTGTGAAAATATGATAATCTTAATTCTTGAATGTAGATTTATTGATGACATTAAATCAGAAACATTTAGAATCTTTGCTTCAGCATAGATAACTCACTCTAGTTCTTGGAGAATTCTAGGGCCTACAAAAAATAATAATGATAAAATTACTAATAATGGCAATATATATATATAAGTTAATAATGTATATATGTATATGTATACACATATGGAGAATTATATATATAATATATTATATATAATATATATTATAATACAATATAATATAATCATATATTATAATAATTATCATATTATAATAATAATTAATATAATTATATTATAACATTATAATATTATAATTATACATTATTTTATTGTTATTATATAGTATATAATATAATTAGATTATAATTATGTATTATATACCTCATATATAATATTATTTACTATATTTATTATATTATATGTTATTTATTATATTATTATATATTATTGTTTATTATATTGTTTATTATACATTATTATATATAATAATTAATATAATTATATTACAATATAAATATATTATATATTATATATATATTATATTATATATAATATATAAAAATATAATACATATATGTGTATATATACATATATATATGTCTGTATATACATATGGAGAATTCTAGGGCCTACAAAAAATAATAATGATAAAATTACTAATAATGGCAAGCTATATATATACGTTAATAATGTATATATGTATATGTATATATATGTTAATAATGGCAATATATATATATGTAAGTTTAAGCGATGGTAGTATAGTGGAGTCGTTAAATACTAGACCCACAAAACCTATGCTTAAATCTTAGGTCCACTGCTTACTAGCTTTATGACCTTGGGTAAGTTAGGCAACCTCTTCTGCCTTTATTTTAAATCCATACAATATGGTTAATGTCCATATGTCACTGGGGTTCTGTGGAAATTCCATGGATGTAAAAGAAACCTACCTGTTACATGGTAAATGTTCAGCAAGAATTAGCTATTATTAAAAGCTATTGAAGACGGGTCATTTGATATAGCTGCATGTTATAAATGGATTATTTTACTTAACATGATTTAAAGTCTTCTCCAGGCAGGATAAAAAATGTATAATTTTTTATTGAATATTTCTTGCTCCCATTTTTCTTTGTACTGTGGCCACTGAATTTGGTATAGTTAAAGGCAACCAACTGTCTTAAAAGGCAAAATATTCTGTAATCATCTCTGATATACCAATTTCATGAGTACTCAGCTCCTCAGTCCAGAATATCAATTGCGTGAAAAGTATAATAAATTCCACCTCACTTTTGATTGCAATGATCTGAGCCAAACACAAAACCTCATTGATCCAAGATGATTTGGGATTCACAATTTCGTGCGTTGCATGATCTGCACACCCAAAACAGGAATATCTTTGAATTTAACATATCTTCCTTTTCAGAAAACAGAATTCTTTTAATTAAAAACATTTTTTAAAAGTTCAGTATGTGTAATTGTTAACACCTGTTATGTGTTACCAACAGATGTTTCTTACTTACCTAAGGGAACTGTTATAATTATTCTATAAGCTTATTGGAATGCCATTTACCAAGATAGTTGAGAAAGTTTAATTGGTAACTTTGTATATAATATTTGATATTTCTTTAAATCCTTTCCTGTATTGCTGTCAATTCCCACAAAACCAACTTAAACCCAGGCTACCAAAAGCAAAAATGTCCTTTTGGGATTTCAAAACATTTACAAAACTGGCATTGATCATGCATATTTTAGTCTTCATGAAAAATTACTGGAATTAAATCATGTGCACACTAAATAAAAGCACTGTAAAATTTACTTTTAAGGGTTTTAGCAGCTAATCCTTACAGTTTTCAGCATGTAAGTCTAAATCTTGATTATAAATGTAAAACTGTATCTTTTAGAAAGAAAATACTCTCCTAATAACTTGGCTTCAAAGGAAGCTATAATAAAAATGAGTTTCTCTTTATTTTTCTGCGGTCTTACAAGCAGTAGGCTTTTTGGATTCTTCATTTATGATACTAATCACACAATTACCTACAGGCATGTGTTGAATATGACACTGGTTTCAGCCAAATAATGGGCCAATTGCAAACAATGAATAAAAAGAGGCAGCTCCATTTATAACCGCTGTTTCAACAGAGCTCTATTGTAATCACAGCAATCTGAGGGTGACTCATTAATTAATTGATGTTCTTTTTATTATGTGCTATTGAGTTAATGAGTAATTTGTATGAGATAATTCTCTGAACACATTGATTACTTGAGATATTTTCTGGAGCTTTCATACTAACTTCGTGCTGAATAGGTAGAAGATGGTATTTGCTTTTGTGTGCTTATTATTTAGCAGGTTTGCCATGAGTAAAAATCAGTGCAAAGACATGTTGAAGTCATTGGATTTTTGAAGGAATCTGTTTGCCCAGTAGGTGACTGAGGGCTTCAGGGCAAGGACTGTCACATAGTAGGCACTCAATTAAGTTTCAACAAAAGTAATGGCTATACTAACCCTCTGTTACCTTAAAATGCGTTAAAATCACATTTAAAAATATCTGTAATGGTGTGTTTAAGAAAAAGTAATGATCAAAAGGCTTTTGCTAAAATCGTATTCTGCGCTAATGGCCTATTACAATAAACATGCAGATTGTTTTTGCAACTTACTGAAGTGAACACTAAACATGTTTGGCCTGTATCATTTCTATGAAATTGTTTAAGTGACTATTCAGAGTGGTTTGCCTAAAGTGATACTTAAAATGAAACCACTTGTGTATGGTATGTTCTACTAGAGATATAATTTTCAGCATCCTGCTCCAATTAAGGAACACCATGTCTTCCTTGAAAAGGTAGGGTTCAGTAGAGATTTTTTTTTTATTTTAATTCATCATACAGGAAATAGGAAACTTGAAATTTAGTCTGACAACAGCAACACACGTTGCTTTCAGAAATATCACTTAAGATATGTATAAATGTACAAAATTGTACCTTGAAATCGCTACCTTCATTTTTGACAGTTTTATTTTCTCACAAAAGAAAATAGCATTAAACTACCTAGCTCAGAGATCCTAAACATATTTGGAGAACAGAACTTTTCTCTATGTTAGTTATGATTCACCTTTAGAAAGTCAATGTCAGGGTGGACGTTGGTGCAGAGGTTAAGATGCCGCTTGGGTGGCAAGTGTTGTGGTGCAGCAGGTTAATCTGCCACTTGGACCACCTGTATCCCATACTGGAGTACCGGTTTCCTGCAGGTATGCCTGGGAGGCAGCAGAAGATGATCCAAGTACTTGGGTCCTGCTACGGACATGAAAGATATGGATAGAGTTCCTGGCTTTGGCCTGGTTTGATTCTGACTGTTGCAGGCATTTGGGGAGTGAACCAGTACATGGAAGATTCTCATTTCTCTCTCTCTCTCTCTCTCTCTCTCTCTCTCTCGCCATTTTCAATAGCTAGTTAAATATGTAATACATTTAAAAAAGCATTTTAAAAGAAAAATAAGGCACCACTTGAGATGCCCACATCCCATATCAGAATGCCTGTGTTTGAGACCTAGTTATGCTACCTATTCCAGCTACCTATTAATGTGCACCATGAGAGGCAGCAGGTGATGACTCAATTACTGGGGTCCCTGCCATTACATTGGGAGACCCAGGATGATTTCCAGGTTCTTAGTTTCAGCCGGGCTAGCACTGGCTGTTAGAATAATTTGGGAAGTAAGCTACCAGTAGATGGAAGATTCTCTCTCTCTCTCCTCTCTCTCTTTCTCTCTGCCTCTCATATAAGTAATGAAAGAAAAGAAAAGGAAGAAAAAGAGAAGCCTTTTAAATACTATGAAACTATATGTCCACACATGCTGTTTTCCTTTTTCATGGATTTAATATCTGCTTTCTGGAATTACCTGAGATTTTACCAATTAAATGCAATCAAATAGTGTCATACCCCTTTTATTAAAAACATAAGTCCAAATATTAAAAAAGAATGAAAGAATCCAGCAGATATTTATTAAGCAAGATGGAAGTGAAATTACAAACACAGGTTAGCTTTAAGTTCGTTAGCACGCTGGTGGGGTAGTGGTGCCTGGCTCATCATCCCAGGCAACCTGTAGGAGATGCATGTTGGGCAGGGAGCTTTAGCTGCTTGAGAAATCAAAGCTCCATGGAAGTGTCCTCCAGGAGCATCAGGTGACAAGCTAAGTGACATCAGGGCTACACAACACAGAAAAGAAAGTCGACAACCACCGCTTTGAGTAGTCAAGACAATCAGCTTAGTACTTCAGGTCAAAAATGCTATGATGAATGGGCACTTTCTGTAAAATGGCCCACAGCTGCAAAATTATTCTTGTCTTGTTTCACAACTTCATGGAGATTAAAGATAATCTTAATAGATTAAGGCTTTAATCTTTAATCCAGGTGAGAAATTTTGTTTGTAGTAAAACACATTAAATATGAACTCCCAAGGGATTAGACAAAGGAAAAGTCATAAAAGCTTTGCTCGGTTGGCAAAGATAGTTGGACAGCTTCAAGAAGCTGAGATAAGCTGGTTCCCAATTGACAAGGTTTGACATATTAATAAAAATATTGACAATAATTCAAATCTAAAAAAAGATCATTTCAAAGAGATACAGTTGAATTTTAACATCCATAGGAATTTTAAACAACTGAAATCTAGGACTAGCAGCGCTACTTTATGAAAACAACTTCTCACTTCTCTCCCCCTCCCATTTTTATTTTGTTTTGTTCTGCTTCCTTTCAACCATGTATCATTTTTTTCTACATGAAATAAGCATAAGGTTCTCAGGCTAATATTACAGTGATTGCATGGATCCTGAACAAGTACTTTTAAAACTTTTTTCTTCCATGTATCTCAAATTTGGGAGACATGTGACTTGAACACTCTTAACCATGAAGTATTTGTAAAAATACATTGTCATCCACTTTTCACAGAATGATGTTCTTTGACATAAGAGGCAATATCCAAATTCACATGCATGTTCATAATAAAGCTTTGTTTTAAAACAACTCAAATCCACACCAGCATGATTTTCGGCTTAATATTTTGGCCCCAAAACCAAGAATTCATGTCTACTATTTAATTTTCATCTGCAATGCATATTGGCAGGACAAAATGTGTATGCAAATAACAATGGGAAACACTGTTTTGTATACAGTAATCAAGAAAAAAAAAAGATACAGAAAACCTACAGCACAAATTTGCTATAGTAGAAAGATGTTTCGTTGTGCCTGTGTAGAATAGATTTGCTGAAGAGTTTGATTTCAGGGAGCAAAAGCATAACAGCAAAGTGCAGGCATTGGAAAGAGGGGACTGTGTTCTCATTTTTATTTCCTTAATTGTAACTTATAGAATTGCTTTTCGGCATTTCTCTATCCAGAGCTTTCTTCTTTATCATGAAGGGAATGGAACAGTAGTTCACCTTGAAAAGATGGAATAACAAATTTAGGCCTAAATGTGATGTATTCTGAGTTGGTGATTCCTTAAAGCAATGAGAGAGTAAGACACATCAAACTTAAAGTGTTCACTTTTTGAACATTAAAATAAATGCCATTAATATGATCTCAGTAGGTTCACACTCAAATCTTCAGTGCCATAAATCTATTAAGCCATAAAGTTATTCAACCCTTGGCTCCTGTGGAGAGGTTGGGGCAAAAGTTATATAAGAAACGTATCATTTTAAAATCATCTCATAGTTGTGGTAACACGTTTTTAAAGTAACCCTTTGGAAAAATTTTACATGATACCCAAAGGCACTAGTTTACGTAAGGTGTGTGGCTGAAAAAGCAAAGCCAAGCCATTGTGTAGGTAAGGAGCACAAAAAAGGCTATTAAAAGAATAATGGTTAAGCTTTAAAGTTATTCTAAAAATGGCACTTTTCACGCTGGTATAAAATGAAAGTGCTTTAAGATGAATTTTTATGTATTTTTTTAAAGCTGATCTTTAACCCCCTGAAAATAGGGAGTTACATTGAGAACACTGATAGACTCCAAATCATAGTGGCAATAAGTAGTGGATGTTGCTAAAATGTGTTGTGTGTCTTTAGTTTTTAATATTTTTAATGTTGATAGACTTGCTTTATCTATCCATGTATCATTAGTGAGATTTGCTCTTCAACTCTTTACTAGAAAGTTACAGCTCATTTAAAATAGCTGGTAGATACAGAAAGCATAAATATACAGTAAGTTTAAACACTGATTGTACTAAATGCAACAATACAAAGAAGCAAACAGAACACAAATGGTAACACAATAAAACTGTATTACATTTGTGCTTCAAATATTACAATACATTATATACAATAGTCCAAAATAAACATCTCATGCCAGGTGACACAAAAACGAATAGCAAGCAAAGAAATCCAGCAATATGTACATTACTTTTTTCTTTAATAATAAACATTCAACTCTGAACTGGGGCAATTTCACTACATACAGATGCAGTCCGCCTTTTATTCCATATCACCATCCTGCTTCCCTATTTCTACGCTATCCAGAAGGTTCCTGTGTCAATTCTTATATACATGTGGAGCAAAAAAGATAAAAGAATGTAGTGCTTTGTATTCTTAACGGGGTGATGATGATAGATCAGCGAACCTGGGGTGCATATCCTTCTTTCATTAAACCTTCCTCGTAGTCTGTCTGGCAAAGGATCATGTTATTCTTTAAGAAAAATTTGTCTCCAACACAAAATCTGAAAATATTAAAAAAAATTTGTTAAGACCATTCCACTCAGCTCCATAAAGTTGAATATTTATTTTCCTAATAACAGTTTCACATAGTAATTCCCTAAATGTGAAAGCTTGGATTTAGAAGTTGCCTTCATCATCAAAATTAAACCACTTAATTTATTTAATTAAGCATTGCACCAACTTGTAAAAATTCCACATGCATCAAGGTAAGCATTTTGGGCACCAAAGATGATTTTCTTCTTTCTTTCTCACCTTGAGAAAAAAAAAGAGAAAGAACTAATCTATCTTTAATACTCATTAAAAGAAAACAAAGAATGATAATGGTATTTTCCTGTAGTGATTATGAAAGACTTCATCACAGGCCATTTATCCACTTGATAAAAAAACTGAAAGCACAGAAAACAAATCAAAAAGTTACAAAATAGTGCATTTTAAAGTTTCCCATTTAAAGCTTCCTTTTATTCTGTTATTAAAATGTGATTGAATTCCAGTAATTTGGAAGTGATGATACTGAAGTGACAGTAGCTTTAGCACCCAAATCTGGGCCATCTTCCTTTGTCTGTGGCAAGTTTATCAACTATGAAATAGCAAATGTCACTTCTTAGAGTACTTCCAATTAAACCAAACGAATAAAGGGAATGTACTCCTTAATATTGTCATGATAAATAAACTTGTTTCCAGTAGCTAATAATGCATTTTATTTTATAAAGTATTGTTTAATGTGCAAGATTGTAATGTTTTTAATAAGTGCTCTTTTTGTATGATTTCCCAGTGGTGACACTTTGGACACAATTAAGGTCAGCAATAAATGCTTGTGCTGTTTCCAGTACATTTAACAATAAAGTAACTCTGGGAGATCTGTATATATGTTTAATTATAACAATTTAACCTTCAAACAGTGGTGTTTGGTAGAGCTGACCCAGTAAACTCCTAGTAATTATACAAGTTGACCTCACTGACCTTTGATAGTGGTCTCTCTTTATCAGGTAGTCAATTTCGAATGATGCTGAAGCAGAAATCTTAGTGGATAGATTAAATGCTGTAGTGAAAGCCACCCTTTAATGTTTTGTGAAGTTGAGGGTTTAAATGAGGGGCAGTTGGGCTGATTTACATTTGCAAAGATTGGAATGCTAGACAAACAGTGAACCTATTTATTTTCCAACTGGGTAGCTTTGGAAATTTATCCTTATTCCAGCTAAGTAGATAGAGAGGAAAATAGTGTAATAAAAAAAGTAGATTGAAAAGAATTAGCTTTCCTCTTAAAGGAAAATTGGTCTGTTTATTTGTGGAATTTACTTTTTTTCCCCAGGATTACTGCCTGCTGATGATGTTGATTGAAAGCACACACTATGCACTCATCTCAAGTCCTCCAGTTGTTTGTGGTCAAGGCTACTGGATACAAGTTTGGGGCTCCCATAATGTTTTTTTTATTATTATTATTAGAAGCCACATACTTCGAATGATGCACTTAAAAAGTGATGTTTGAATAAACTAGATTTTGTAGATATCCTAATTACTAAGATATTTTTAATAAAAGGAAGTATGTTTCTCTTGTTAGGTAGCCAAATTACATACTTCTCTTTTATGTGAACTGATTAATAACATAGTATATTAACTACATTTACTGTTCAGAATTATCATCTTATATTACTAATGAAATGAATTTCAACTAATAATCTAATAATAAATTATCACATCTAAACTAAATAGATCCAACAAAACAATCTCATGTTCTAGCTGATGTTACCGAATTGTTTTTATTAACAATCAGCTCATCTGGGAATTCTCTTTCAATGCCATGTCACCTAAAAATTTTGCTTTAATTTTCTGTCAAGTCCATAATTCTACTAGCCATGAAAACATCTTTTGTTATCTTGTCATATTATGTCATGGCATCTCATTCTTCCTTTCATAGGCCCTGAAATTGGAGAAATTTCAATTGCAGATTAATAAATTCAAAATAATTACACACAGAAAAATACAGAACCAACAGCTTGGGAAACTAATCCCAAATCCTATTTTTATCACCAAAGCATGGAGTACATTTCACACTTTCCCTGATTCAATTCCCTGTGGTAAGAGGAAAACAGATTGTGGGGAAGCTCAAGTACAACCTCTATGAAAGGCAGAGGAGTATACTGCAGTAGGGTTCAAATCCCAGACTTCCACTTCTGATAATTAACTCAGTTTTTCTTATCTGTAGAATCAATCATTTTGACAAGTTTGTAACAAGGAATATAAATGTCTTACCTTAATCTTTAGATTTCAGGTAACAGAACCACCTTTTATAAAGTACTTGTCATGTGCTAATCCTAAGCATGTATATATAATGATGACAATTATTCCTTACATCCAACCTAGAAAGTAATGTAACTCACTTTTTCAGAAGAAAAATCTGAACCTCCTTCCTAGAATTTTCAAAATCTGCCCAAGGTTTTATAACTACTTTGTGACAGAGGATGGAGAATCACCCTGGTTTCCTTGGATTCAAGACCCGTGCTTTTATTTGGGTGTGGTAAAAACGAGTATGTATAGTATGATGTGATGATTAAGTGGTTATACAGATTTTCCTATTACTAGTATTCCATAGCATAACTCTATTTATTTATATTTAAAAGGCAGAGAGGCAGAGAGAGATCTTCCATCTATTGGTTCAATACTCATAACAGCTGGGATTAGGCAAAGCTGAAGACATTAGCTAGGGGCTCTGTGTGGGTGGAGCCAAGTACATAAGCCATCACCTGCTGCTTTCCAGGGTGAACATTGGCAGGAAGCTGGAATCTGGAACAAGGACTTGAATGTAGACACTCCAATGGGGGATGTAGGCATCGCAAGCTGAATCTTACCTGCTGTGCCAAGTTACTAAAGCCTCCTTTGCATAGCTTTAAAACAGTGAGATGGTAGATATGACAGTCTGTGTGTGTGTGTATGGGAGTATTGTGAAACGTTCGGAAAAAAGGAACTAGAGGGTGTTTTTTTTTTGGACTGGCATTGTGGTGCAGAGGTTAGGCCACCACTTAAGATGACTGCATACCATACTGGAGCACGGGTTTGATCTCCGGTTGCTTCACTTCTGATTCAGTTTCCTGTTAATGTGTCTGGGAATGTCAGGGATGGTGGCCCAAGTACTTGGGCCCCTGCCACCTATTAGGAGACCAGGATGGAGTCCCTTGTTCTTGGGTTTAGCCTGGCCCAGATCTGGTTGTTGGAACCATCTGGGGAGTGAACAAGTGAACTGAAGATCTCTTTTTGTCTCTCTCTTCTTTTTGTCCCTCTGCCCTTCAAATAAATAAATGAAGCTTTTTAAAAAGGTTTTTATTTTGGTTCAGAAAGTTTTGAAATCCTTGCATACAAGGGATCTTCAACAAGTTCATGAAAAACACATATTATAAATGAACGATACATGAATTTCAATACTTTTTTGAACCAAAACAGACATCTTTTAATTCCCTTTTTTATGAACTTTTTAATATACTTTTGCATGTGGTATACACAAGTACATATAGACAGGGAATATGAATATTTATCTATAATATCCCTATCTGAAAGATTTTATTACTAGTACATTATCAACTGGAAAAGGTACATTTTACATGCACTTTAATTTACACCTGAAGGTCAAGATAAAACAGATCATGGATGAGGATTATCCCACTCACATATATAACTCTTACAAACAGGCTTAAAAGTTGTATCTAAGAGTAAATTATGATTGGTATACAATTAAGATCAATATCCTCCTTAAAAATGCTCCGTAAGTAAACATTAAGAAATTAGAGAAACAGAAATGCTGATATTAAATGCTTAACAAAATAATCTGTAATTCCGGTTTTATAAGAAAGGCTAATTTCCAATATTATATAGATAACTCCTTATGAGACAGCATTGGCAGAGAAAAAATAGTATTAAAGCTGTGATCGCCAGAGAATACATAAGTACATTAACTGATCAGGTTTAAATTCCTAAATATAAACTGATAATCTTCCTTATCACATGATACTAATTGCCTGTGGTAATGTCATTTCAATTAGTTTTGTCTTTATTAAAAAAATTAAGGAAAAAAAAAAGATGCCCAATCAGATTATTAAATTACCAAATCTTAATGTTTGAAATTAACAACAGATTAAATTTCCAGATATTTCAGAGTGATTCTAGTTGACTGCACACATAGTCTTAGAGATTTGAAACATACAAGAAATAAGTACAATTAATAAACCATCCTTGTAAAACATGGGGCTTAGAATGGTTTTGATTCATAACATCCTTTTTAAGAAATGAAAATGTTAACTTAGTCATCTTATTTTTTTAAGGTTAATGACTGTCAATTATAATTAATTTCTATTTCTTCCACTTTTTAAAAAGAAGTTGTGATCTAATCCAGTGCCTCTGTTCTCCTAATCAGCATCCCTAGATATCAAAAGATGGAAATTTCTATACTTCGCTGTTTTCAGTAAGAGGTTCAGGTTAGACACTTTTTTCATTCTATAAATCTGTGAATAAATTTACTGTCTCTTCTCCATCAACAGTCCAAATGGTATTATGCATCTCATCCTTAACCTTTTCTGTACCAAATTACACTTACCCATGCCCCAAATTCTCCTGTAAATTACTTAAAGTCTACTTTACTTGATACTTACACACATTTAGATGTTTTTATTCAGAAAATAAAATACCCCTTTGGGACATGTTTGAGTTCACAGAGTGAAATCAGATGCCCTTGATTCAAATCTTGAGTCTTCTATATTCTAACTGTACAAGGGGTTGTCAAAAGATTTTGGAGAATGTGTATTATGAAAAACTGTATGAATTTCAGGGTTTTTTTACATCAAAATACACAGTCCATTTTCCATGAACTTAATGAAGTTCTCTTAACTAGTCTTAGGCAAGTAACTTAAATTTTTTGTACTTTAGCTTCCTTCTCTGTAAAATTTAGGCTAATTAAAAAGCCTATTTATGAGTTATTTTGAGTTTTAAATGAGTTAGTACGTGGATACCACTTGGA